TATACATACATACATACATACGCACGTACGCACCTACGCACATACATGCACCTATACATACTTACTTACCAGTACCAATTGATCGACTTTCTGGTCGTGCCATATGTTGATTTTCCAGAACACTAGTCTATCTGACACCAATACGAGGACGACCGCTTTATCTGTGTTACGGTTTGATATATTAACATTTACATTTGTTAATTCTGGTGATGCGATTCCGTATTTCATCGCTATGACGTGGACCTCAGTGCTTGTGGATATTTTTGATACGCAGCTTATGTATTTGAGGGAATCATTGTTTATTAACGTCGCAATGGCAATTTCTTCTTTGTTTTCTCTTGTCATGTGGCAGCCACCTAATGAAACTATATATATTAAAATATATATTAATATTTTTACTATCATAACAAAACAATAACAAAAATAACGATGATAATGTTGAGGATGATGATTATAATAATTATGATGATGATGACCACTGGGCTTGCGCTTAAAGGCTCGGGTTAAAATTATCTATATATCAGCATAGGGGCGGATCAAGAATTTTTCAAACTGGTGGGTGTGGGCACAACAGTTTCAGAATAGAATAATTTAGTAGCACATAACATTAATATGCATTGAAAATTTTAAAATCCAGTGGCAAAACGGCTGCACTGCTCCCCGTGTTCCCTACAGGAGCCGCTCCTCTATCAGTAATCCTGGCTGCATGCGCTCGTCATACTTTTGTATCTTGTTTAGCCAGCGGACCAGACCGACACTTGCTTGGGAGGATGTCCTTAAAGGCCAACTCAGACAGCGTCGGCCGACGCAGCCCGACCCGATTTATCGTCGGGGACAATCTTAAGCCGTCGTGAGAAATATTAAACATGTTTAATATTCTACGACGCGACTTCCCCCGACGCACACCATCGTCGCACGACGCAGCCCGACGCGATTTGTTGTCGTCGTACGACGCTGTCTGAGTTGGCCTTTAGAGCTGTGGGTACTAAGTGGTATATTTAACGCTGTTTTGCGTTCGGAAACCGGCCATTTGGAATCATCTTTTCGCCCATCCTGGCGTATTTCATGACCTTAGACTAGGTTGTGATAGGACTATGTATCTGCGGCCATGTGTTTGATTTTTTCACATCATGCAGTTTTTGGGGACGTATAGGTATTCAGTAGCACGATCACGTCAGAAAGGGCAAAATATTATTCAATATTAACAACGACAATAAAATATATGAGAGTCCATATTAAAATTCGTAGGCATAGGCCTATTATAGGCCATACATACCTAAGCAAGTACATGGATCAATGCCGAATTTCTGACAAACACAACGTCCAGCTACACATGAAGCAAATGCATTGTCACAATATTCTCCCATCTCGTCCATACAATGCTCCCCATCATCGCAGATTGCTTGAATGGTAAATTTTAAAAATCAAAGAAAAGTAATTTATAAAAAACTGCACGCAATGACGTTTAACAACATTGTCTTAACCATTCAATCCGCAGGGGTCTTTAGAATTATTGAATTCTATTGATATTCGGCCTTTCTCTCTTATTCCTGCTACTTTGTATTTCGTTAGCATTTTTTTTAAATTTTACAATAACATAACATTTTGGTACTAATTTAATAAATAATTTATAGGAAAATTTGTGTATTATTATAAAAATATTGTAAATTTTGATACGCCATGCACCAAATTTTAATTTTTTCATAAACAAAAGCATCCTTGACGTGGTAAATTAGTTTTTGATAAGATATTAATTGATTGATTGATTGATCCACTCAAATGAAGCAAATGACGGGTCAAGTGGCTTGATGTAGTAGAACGTTTCCTGATGCTCAAGTTGTAAATTATGATTGTATCAGGTATTAACCACTTCTTTAAAACTCAATACCATTTCCTGTTAAATGGATTACAACTCAAAAATGCGGTCGTTGTCGAATTGTTAGTAAATCATCTTCATCATTATCATCATCAACATCATTGTGTTTATGATTATATTATCTGTAATATTTTTATTATTATTAATAATAATAATAATAATAATAATAATAATGTAATCGGCATAATAATAGGCCTAATAATAATAATACTATA